GCGGTCTCTTTTTTATTTTTCTGTGGATGAATTTCATAAGGAAATTGATTTAATTCTTCATAGATTTCTTTAAACGTTGTGTATATATTTGTTTCATTTTTCTGTCGCCGAACGACGGAGGCATACGTGTCTATCGGGTGGACAATCAGCCAATGCGTTTCGCTAGACCCAGGTATTGAAAAGTTAAGGACTCGCTAGGCTGTTGTTGGCGATAAAAGCTTCGACATTTTCTCAAAGTTTCTACGGTGAGAGATTTGATAATTTCGGTTTGAACTTTAATTGTAGGCGTGATTGTATATAACGGGTGATTTTTTTGAGGTTAGGATTTTCATGCATTAGTATTTGACAGATCACGTGGGATTTCAGACATGGTGTCAAAGAGAAAGATGCTCAGTATGCTTTGACATTTCATCATGAATAGACTTACTAACGAGCAACGCTTGCAAATCATTGAATTTTATTACCAAAATCAGTGTTCGGTTCGCTTTACGTCCGATTTATGGTCTACATAATCGACCAAGTGAGCAAACAATTAATGCGATTGTGACCAAGTTTCGCACTCAGTTTACTTTATTGGACATTAAACCAACCACACGAATGCGTACAGTGCGTACAGAAGAGAATATTGCGTCTGTTTCTGAGAGTGTTGCTGAAGACCGTGAAATGTCGATTCGTCGCCGTTCGCAGCAATTGGGTTTGCGAAACACATTTCGAACCGAACACTGATTTTGGTAATAAAATTCAATGATTTGCAAGCGTTGCTCGTTAGTAAGTCTATTCATGATGAAATGTCAAAGCATACTGAGCATCTTTCTCTTTGACACCATGTCTGAAATCCCACGTGATCTGTCAAATACTAATGCATGAAAATCCTAACCTCAAAAAAATCACCCGTTAGTTATGCATGGAAAATGGGAGCAACCTGTTAACACCTTTATATTTACTCCCTACACATATGCGGACATAAAATAATGTCGTCATTAAATCTAAGAAATACTATTAGGCGGAGTTGACTGTGCCTTTTAAGGCATTAACGGCGCATAAACACTGGCATGTAGCAAAGTATGGGTTTTATCGTATCCGCAGCGGCATTGCGCCAAATTCTTACACGATGTACATATATATTGTACATACTTACTAAATTGTATGTATATTAGGGTGGTCCTGAAAAAAAAAATCAAATGAGCGATTTTTTTTTTCAGTCTCAACCATTCTATCGGTAATACCACGGTCACAGATATCACATACAAATTTTGGCCACATATAAACTTTGGTCCCGATTGGAGTCGGGTAAGGCGTGTCGCAATGGGGTCCAAGGCCAGATGCTCCATAGAGACTCAAAAAATTAAAGAAATCGTTTCATTTAATAACCAAAATCTATACTACTAAAGTCGAAGATATCACATAAAAATTGTGGTCCCGACTGGAGTCAGTTAAGACGTTTTCATAGGGTAATCTGGATTTTGACCCCTGTGCCCCGCGCCTTAACCGACTCCAATCGGGGCCAAAATTTGTATGCGATATATTCGACTATAGTAGTGACGATTTTGGATATTATACTAAAAAAAATTTAATTTTTTGGGTCTCCATAGAGGAATCTGAACTTTGCCCCCTGTGCGACGCGCCATAACCGTCTCCAATCGGGACCAAAATTTATATGTGAAATCTTCGACTGTAGTAGCATCGACGTTGGGGTTGAGGCTTAGGAAATCTGATGTAAAAATTTGCTTCCTACCTTTAAGGACCACCCCAATGTACATACATACTCCGCAGCATATTCACTTCCCCGTCTTTCAATACCGCCTGAGTGCCACTAATATGGATTTCGCGTGCGTTAAACAATTTAACAAGTTTATTTCCAAAATTTATATTTGTTTCTATTTGTTTATTTTGATATACATATGTATATACGAATAAATATACATATGCATGTGCATATGTACATACTAAACGAATTAGCGCAGGTCTCTGAAGGAAGCGTGTCTACTTAAAATCTCGAAGCCAAATTCTAACCGCAGCGGTATACCACATTGGCACTCAGCAATGGAAGAAATTAAAGGAAAAAAACACCTTTTGTTAGTGGTTTTTGTGTGGAGGGAAATATTTAGACAGTCACTTAAATCGAAAAAAATACTTAAATAAAGTCGTTGAAGTATGAATACAGGCATTTCCCTGATAGAGCACTTTTTTGAAGAAATTAAGGTATTTAAGTAATTTATGTTAACAATGGCAAATGACAAATCATCTAAAAAGTTTATATTTAATACATCTATACATATAATAAAATTGTAACAGGTCGATGTCTGTACATTATAGATATTAAAGAAAAAGTAGTGTGGGGAGTCTCTATTAGAGCACAAGAAGCAAAATCAACCATTTTTAGAATTTTTGGCTTTCTGTCTGTCTGTCTGTCTGTCTGTATGTTGGCACGCGCATAACTCAAAAACGAATGCATGGATTTGAATCCAGTTTTCACCGATGTATTACCAGAGATCTAACTTAAAATATAGAAAAAAATGGGGGTTGCCACCTGTTTGAAAATTGCAGTTTAAGTAAATTGATAAGAAAAAAGGAATATTGCAATATGGGCGTCAAAATAAAGAGGCTTAAGAAAAATTAATTGTTTAAAATTTTTTATTTAATTTAATTTATAGGATAAATTGAATATTGCAATAAGTTGATACCCTTAAGAGGTTAAGGCAGTTTTACTGCCGAAAATATTTATAGGGAGCGTTTCCACCTGTTTGAAAAATTGTATTGTATAGTAAATTAAATCTATATCTAGGCTTATAATAAAATTGTAACAGGCCGTCGCGACGTCTGTACCTTATAGATATTAAAGAAAAATTAGTATGGTGGGTTTTTATTAGAGCTACAGAACCCAAATAAACAATTTTAGAATTTTTGACTCTCTGTCGGTCTGTATATTTGTACGCGCATCACCCGAAAACATGCAATTGAATGCAGTTTTCACCGATGTATCGCTAGAGATCTAGCTTACAATGCCGAAGAAAAAAGTTAGAGAGTTGCCACGTGTGTTTAAAATTTCAGTTTAGGTTAATTGATACAGTAAAGTGAATACTATATGGCTCTCAAAAAAAACGAGATTTACAAAGACATACAGCTAAAAATATTTTTGTGGAAGATTGCCACCTATTTGAAAACTTTAATTTAATTTAATTGATAGCGTCAATTAAATTTTGCAATATTGGCATCAAACTAAAGAGGCTAGGAAATTTTATTGCCGAAAATATTTTTAGGGAATTTGCCAACTGCTTGAAAATTGTATTCATTTAAATTTGTAAAATAAATGAAATATTACAATACGGACATTAGACTAAAGAGGATTAGGAAGCTTACTTTTTGAAATATTTTTGAAGCAGGTTGCCACTTATTTGAATAGTTTAATTCAGTTAAATTTATAAGATGACCAAAATGTTGCCATGTGGGTAACTGTATCAACTTCTCGTAATCCTCATATGAAAGCCATAAGTCATAAATGGTACGATGATTAAGTTGGTTTTTTATTAAAATGCTTGTTTGCGCGGTAGCATATATTAAAATATTCACTTTTTCTTATCAATTTACTTAACTGCAATTTTCAAACAGGTGGCAACCCCCTATTTTTTTCTTTCTATATTTTAAGTTAGACCTCTGGCAATAATAACAATAATAATAGATTGGCGCTTACATATACGTTAGTGTTTGGCCCAGCTTCTCCTCCGATTTGTGGCGTGCGCCTTGATGTTGTCACACAAAGCGGAGGGACCTACAGTTTTACGCCGACTCCGAACGGCGTTTGTATTTTTATGAGAAGCTGTTTTTCATGGCACATATAGACTCGGAGGTTTGCCTTGGCTTGCCGAGGGACGACCGCTGTCAAGAAAAAACCTTTTTTCTATACTTTTTTTCGATGTTGCTTTGACCAGGGCTTGAACCCAGACGCAGCGGAGAGGAAGCGCGCTGCTTACCACGACTTCTGGCAATACATCGGTGAAAGCTGGATTCAAATCCACGCATTCGTTTTCGAGTGATGCGCGTGCATACATATAGACCGACAGACGAAAATTCTAAAAATGGTTGATTTGGTTTCTGGTCCTCTAGTCTCACACAAATTTTTCTTTGATATCTATAATTTACAGACATCGTCCTGTTACAATTTTATTATATATATAGATAATGTGATCACTTCCCAATTAAATAAATCTTTATATATTTCAACAACTATAATGGCTAAATTCACTTCACAAGCCCTAACAATTACAGCCTCTCGTGTCTACGTGTAAATGTTTTTGGTCTTTGACTCATCTGCCTTTAATTGCACACCACTTTGGATTTCAGTGCACACGGAGCAAAGATTTTTAAGCGCCTCTATATCCGTTCATTGCCATATTTGAGCGTTTAATAAATAATCAAGATTACAGGCAATTATTTCTGCATGTCGCGCATTTTTCATCCCCGCAGCTGCTGCGCCCATTGAAATTACTTTTAACCCAGCCGCATACACATTTTAAGCATTCTAGCTTAGTTACGTGTTTTAATCACCCGACCCTGCAGTGATATTCACGCAGATACATACACGCGACCATGTACGGAGAATAATCTCACTGCTTAATTCAAACTTGGTGGTTTCGATTTTCAAAATTAACCGCGTAAACAACACAAAGACCGAACATATTTCACTTTCACTACCCCATTCAAACCAATTCGTTTATATACTTATGTACATACTTAGTAGAGAGCGCTGCCGGAAGATTCATCCCTCCGTAAATAAAAAACCATCGCCACAGGACCCCAATGACTCGTCTGCTGCCCAACTGAGTCGGCTGATCGCTACACAAATTCACACTCTGTGTCAACAATTTCGTTAGTATTTATGTCGGCAAGGTGTTTTCGCACACACAGCATTTGGCTTCGTTAAAAATTTATTATCACTCATTTATTTAAAAAGTGACAAGCCCCCCCCAGCCCTCGGCCTACTATCCAGCTAACCAACGTACCTTAATTTCCAGCGTTGCCGGCTGCGAGTCGATGTGAAATTTGGCACGAGAACCGAACACCTCCGGCGCTGACCAATGGCGCGGTTGGTCGTTATTCACTTTATCGCGCACATCAAAGCTGAAAATAAAGTTAAAAAAAAGAAAGAAATAGTGAATTTTTAATTCGGAATGAATCGTATATAAAAAGGGAAAAAGTCGAGTTTGTGGAGAAGGTCAGGTAGAAAGAAAGTGGCGGAAGAGTACTTTCACTAGTAACAAGTAAACTACAGATAAAATGCAAATGTTTGCATATGTTTTTTGTGCGATGAATGTGCTTAAATACACTGAAAAAAAACGCGTTTTAATATTCAGAAAAAGTTTATGAATTCACTGAGGGAAATAGTGCATAGTAAAAATTAAAAATTAAAATTTTTTATTTTATTGTCGTTTCAAAATGTTCGTATTTAAAAATACTACTTTCATACCAAGCACGCGTGCTGTGGTGTTGATTTAAACTCAACATTTGAATTGAATATTCCAATACTAAATACTAAAATTTGTATACTAAAATTTATTACGAGTTGGGTTGGTGTTCTTTCGTATGCGTATTTTTTTTAATTTAGCGCGGTTTTTTTAATTCTAAAGTTTTTTCTCTCAGTATATGAATATATGTATATTTATATGTATGAACTTATACATACATATATACGGTTATTTCTAAGCTGCTAAAATAAGAAGGGCTCAAACATTTATGATCTTTATAATAAAAATCATAATCGGGCAGGTTTTGCAGACACTTCCGAGTGAATTTAACCAGAGTCACTTTGAATTAAAGTTGAATGGGGTTGAGTTTCACTTAGAATTGCAGAACCTGCATGAGTTTAAACGCTTAAATTGGATTTATATTTTCCCTATCAAATTTGACCGCTATTTTATGGCTTTTGCTTTTTCAGTCAAGAGTAATCGCTAATTTTTATTTTCGTTATTTTTGTTGCATTCGACGCATCAAAATTAACTTGCCTCTATGCAAGCGAAAAAAAACTGGCTTGAGGCAGCACGACGAAAGTTTGATGCCGAAAATCAGCAACCGCGAACAGAAATGCAAGTAATTTCGCCACGGTTGCAGAGCAGTGAGCAACATAAAAGGCCACACTGAAGTCAATTTCGACGAGAGCCAAAATATAGAAATATCGATAGAGGAAGAGAGAGGTAGAAAATCGAGGCAGAAATACAGGAATTCCAAGAGCTTGGGATGTTGTCAGAGTTAAAACTGGTTTCTGCAGAGACTAGGATAGAAATTTGGCAACAGTCGCGATACGGAATGGAAAGAACGCTCTCATTGTTTAATTTCAAGACCGGAGTATCCTTGCTGAGACGTAGATGAGGGAACAGAGTGGGAACACTTGAACTCAGAGTCATTTGTGATACCGCATGGGGTTTACATTTATCCCCGTTCACCTATAAACCACTTGGTTCTTAGCAAAAAGGCTTCTGGCGCGAAATGCTCTGAGGTCATCGAGATCATTGAAGAAATAACTGCCCAGAGCTTTTGCTGGCAGAGAAGATGTTTAGTTGTTGGACAGTGCGCTCAGTCTTACTGCGTGTAGTCAAATTGGGTAATGTCCGGGGATAACCCCAGTTCCTATGCAAATCTCCTGCCTCCTTAAGTTAAGTAGAGACTTAGTACGTTGAGCGACTATGGCTAACCAGAAGGCTTTGTCAATATGACAGATCGTTTCCATCCGCCATCTTTCATTGAACTGGCTTTCAGTAAGAATCTACATGTTTGTAAAGAAATGCTAAGCGTGTTTTTTATGTCTCCATCAAGTAATGTGGTTCCTTTCCGCTCGAGTTTGTCAGCCTTGCAATTTCCTTTCCTTGAATGTCGCAATGGCCAGGTCATTTACTAGGTTTACACAGTACGATAGATACTACAAAATACCTTACCTAAGCACATCAGCACACTTAACTTTTCGTAGATTTGAAAGTTGCTTTGAGTAGCACATAGAAGGACTCACTTTTCAAAGCCTTCGTATAAACTTGGGTTCTGTTAAACTCACGGGACTATCTTAAAAGCTAAACACAATTTTCTAGGTAGACCTACGGCACTATTTGAGTGGACGGAGGTAAAAGAATATGATTTTTTCGGAAGCAGCACAAAACAAGGCGTGCAGAAAACAACACTCAGACTACATGTCGTCCGTCGTACTGTTTTCATTTCCCATTTAATTTGTTTTAAGTCTTCGCGATTTACGAATAAACCTAAAAGTATGTTCAGATATAAATATTATCTCAATCAAAGCTCGTTTTCTAGTCAAAGTTGTTGTGCTTGTTATTCTCACATCTCAAGGAAAAATTATGTTTCTTCTCTGTGCCACCGTGATCACTTTTTTCCAGGGACGGAAAATAATCATTATTTTTTAAATTTTAACCAAAAAAATCAAAAAGTTCTAATTGCCGTAAAACAATTTTATTTATACCCACGTATTTGTTATCGTAATTTACAATGATTTTTATTTTTCGAGTTTAACCAATAAAGATTAAAAATAATAATTAGTATTTGAATATTAATTTTTCAGTCAAAGTTAATTATTATTACTTGATTTTTTTTTCGACCAAAAATAATGATTATTTTATGATTTTGATTTTTTCGCTCAAAGATAATAATTATTATTGAGTTTTATTTTTTTCACTTAAGAATAATGATCATTCCAAAAAATCAGAGGTAGCGACACCCTAATTAAAGGAATAAGTCTAAAAACTTTCAGGTAAAAATTTCAGTAAGTTGCGTCTGTATAGCCATTTCAATTTTATAAATAATCATTATTTTTAAGTGGAAAAATAAAACTAATAATGAATAATTATTATCTCTGAGCGAAAAAATAAAAATCATAAAATAATCATTATTTTTGATCGAAAAAAAATAAAAATCAATAGTAATTATTATTTTAGAGCCACAAAAATAAAACTCATAATATAATGATTAAATATTGATTTAAATTATTTTACTTTTAATGATTACCGCCCCTACTTTTTTCTGCTGTATTAAGCAATTCAACTATATTTTAACTTAATATTTTATAAAAATACCTCTACAAATTTTTTTCCCTTCAAGCATCCATTTTTGTTTACTTTTACATTTGGCATTTCTCCTCTTCTTGGCAAAAATAATCGATAAAACTAAATTGGACACCGAAAAGTTATCGGTTAAATCTGAGATTATTTTATAATTACAGATTAACAAAAGACGAATTTTGTATGGCTAATCTCTCTAATTACAGGTTAGGGAGTTAAGCTCGAAAATGAGGATAGTCTACTTATATGTAAACCTAGTATAATTCTTGAAAAGGCTGGCCAGAAGCACAAAAAGTTTTCCACCGTCTGATCCTCTTCAAGGCAGGATGGTCAAATGGAGTTCCCACACAGTCAAGAGTTTGTGCCGCGTGAAGTGACCATTCAGCTGTTCAAAAAGTTGTCTGCAGTTCCATCTGCTCAGTGAGAGCAAAAAACCTAGACAGACCTTCTGAAATTAAAGCAACATGAGTTTTGCCTACTTGCAGACCCTAGATGCCTCCCAGTCATTGCTGAGCAAAAAAAAATATTCACTCAGTTTCTGATGGTAGCTTCGATGGCCAAAAGTGGAAGTGCTATAACTGTTTGCGGACCGAGGAATGCCTGCTCTGAGCCAGTTCTAGCCAAGTGGTCAGATGTACTCCCGAGTAACCCGGAACCCAGAGTAAAGCAAGCTCGTTATGTTAGCCAACAAAATTTCGTCGAGACCTGCATTGCCCAACTAGTTTGGAAGTAGTTAGGGGTCTGGACAATGCCTTAAGTGCAGCTTGGCAGAAGACGATGGTCCAGCGAACTGTACAAGCTATTTATTGACATAATTTAAAACTGCAAAGATTGCGCTTACTTAGACGTACGAATGTATAATAATGTTCTAATAAAAATATCCTTCGATTCCCCTACCCATGAATGGATAACCAAAAGCAAGGCCGTCCGCAAATACAATAGGACGACGGAATTCAGAAAGACATATCTGGACTTGGTGTGAATAACTCAGAGAACATAGGTATGTGTCAGAGCTGTGTGAGTGTGAAATCATTTTCAATTTTAAATCAACAATTTTTTCTATCCAGTTTTCATTACTTATTCTTCGCTTAAGATTGAGGTTTATAATTTTTTAATTTTCCATTCACTCAAAGCAGTTATGAATTCACACATCAACATATTCATAGCAAGATTGAAAAAAGCAGAAAAAAATGATATTTGTCTTTTGAATTTGTCTACCTTCCGAATAGCAGAATAACTATTAAAACAACCGCTAGGTGGCGCTGGAGTCGAGTTATTATTAAACCCCGTATTTAAGGTTCGATTCGTCTCATATTTGAGATATGTGTTGACAATAGGAAAAGCAATATCATTACAAAAAAAAAGAGCTGTCAGGTGGCGTTGGAGTCGAGTTATTAAAAATCGGGTTTATGCTCGAATTTTTTTCATTATTGAAATATATGAATTCACATATCGATGGACCTCTGCAATAACGAAACAACTCAAAATTCAAAAAATCAAATCCCTTATTACTGTTAAGAGACTCATGTCTCTAATCCTTGGCTTACCCATGTCTAATCCTAACTAAAGAAAGTAGTAAAGATTATACATGAATAAGACAATAATTAAAGACATAAGCCACTTAAAAATAGTACGAGTTTTTATTTTTTGAGTTTTGAATTGTGTCGTTATTGTAGAGGACCAACGATATATTTATGATAGGAAAAGATACATACCGTCGATGTTTTTGCAAAACCTCCCAACGCCCAATTGCAAAACCGTCTATCAAGTTTTACAGGAGAGCGAAAAAACGCTTTATTCTTGAAGGCATTGCTTTGATAGGCGGTATTTTCTCTAGCTATTATTTTAAAAATCTGTTGTTTCAATAACAATTTAATGATTTTTGTGCATAAATCTCGATGCCTGGAGTTCAGAGTTACTAAATTTCATTTTTTTGTATTTTGCAAAAAAAAACTGAAATTCAGTCGGAAACCGCCGTTTACGATGAAAAATTTATAGTAATTCATACATTGAGAACGGTTGGGCCGGAGAAGGTTTTTACGATAGAAAATTTTGGGAAAGCCT